ATTGATGCTTTTAAATACTTCTTGGGTTATTTCAATTCTTATTGCTCTTTTTTTTTTTTGTTTCAACCCTTACTTTAGTTTGAAGTTTATTAGGCTTGTTAATGCACTATTCTAGTTTATTTCTTTTCTTGCATTTACAGTTTATATGTTGATCTATGTTCCTTTAACTCTGTTTAAGTTCAATTGCTTTCCTAGAGTTTTGAAAATTTAAATTTTAGTAATGCCATTGCCTATTTGAAGTATGGTACTAGTATTTACAATCTTTACTTCTCTATTATATTGCTCAATACATTCACAAAAAATATTACTAATTTCATTGGCCTTAATAGTTACCATGAGCATTTCCTAATTATTTTTTGGAAAAAAAATAATGGCTACAGTAAAGTAAAATGTAAAAACTAAAAAAAAAAAAGAAGAAGACTAATCAGTTATTTCTTCCATCACCCTAAACAGGCCAATATTAGCATTAATGGTACATAAATGTAACTTGTTGTTTACAGAACAATTCAGAGTTCCTAGAGCTTTTTGTAAAGCTTATTGGAAAACCTATTATTAGATTTCTCTAGATTTCAATTTAAGTACTTTTACATTTTCATGCATTTAATCATGCTATTTCAATTTGATGCATTTAAAGTTAGTTTGATTCACTATATTAAAATTCATTTGCATTTAAATACTTATACTAGGATTAAATCCATTTAATTAATGAATGCATTTACGATTTGATTGCACTAGCTTAGTTTTCGATAGACTTGGCAATTTGAAATATAACATAATGACACGATACGAAAATGATACAAATAAATGATACAGAGATAACATAGCTTAAAATTTGGATAAACTATAAATAGGTTGAATAAAACAAAAAAATTACATTTTATGTTTTTGTGTCGATATGAATTGTGACACATGATTTTTATATAAAACACGATATGAATATGGTATTTTACACAATACGATGACACGAATTGCTAGTTCTAGTTTTCGGTTTTTGCATTTAACTTTCAATTCATGCATTTTCAATACATTTTTGTATTTTGTTTTCCTTAATGATATGCATTATTTTCATGTCTTTATGATTAATTCCTTTACATTTCATGCATTTACTTATTTGCAATTTACATACTTGTCTATAATGTTTCATGCTTTACATGTTCATTGCTTTAGGTTAGTAGTAACGTAAATCAACTTTCAAGTTTTTGATTAAGCTAACTATAATTAGAGTATATTGATAATTGGTACTAAATTCAGACTTCCCAAATGATCAGTCCACATGAGAATGATATTCTATTACATCACTTTATTACTTAAATAACTTGTGCACTTATAATTTTACCCAACATCTGCTCACCATTTCTTGAACCCACTTCACCTAATTCATCATTCTACTCACCATTATCATAACCCACTTCACCTAAGTCCCTTTATGCTAACCACTACCACTACCCAATTCCCTATTATTCTCATCATTTTTATGTTCCTTTTTCTACTGACCAATACTATTTCCTTCATTCTACTCGTAACCACCATTCTCATTATTATTATAAAAGTCCTCTAAGATTGGCATACGAGCTCTAGGTGGTTGAAAAAGCTATTCACTATCATTAATTCTACTAACACTCACAATAACAACATCATTATCATTATCGTCATTGTCATTATCACAATTCAAATGCATAGAAATTAGTACTCCTTTTTTCCTTAATTGCTCTTCTAGCACATTATTGCCAACACCTAACAACTTCAACTATGTATATAATGTCTTGCCATCTCAATATAATAAACTTTAATTGCCTTTTCTAAATTATAACCTAATGCTTTTATAGCCCTTATTATGGTCTAATAACATATTCTATTATGATTTTCTTTTAATTCAAGCACAGTACTATTTACATATCTAATAACACATCTGATTGTTAATAATATCCACTATTATGATTTTCTTTTAATTCAAGTACAGTACTATTTACATATCTAATAACACATCTGATTGTTAATAATATCCCCTCGTGAAGGTATTTTGCTATAAAGACTTACCCAATAAACATGCTAACATTTGAAAAAAGACAATGAAAAAAAATTTCAAAAAATGTTTCAATGATAAACAAAGTATTGTTATAGTTAGAAAAAGACAAACTAAAATATGGTTCAATGGCAAACAAATAAAAGTCATAGGGTCCACACAAATACCAATATGAAAAACATAGTACTGCCAATAACCCAACAATAAAAACCAAAAATAACCCTAAACCATACAAATATTAAGACAAAACAAACCTTTCAGTGGTTTTTGATAACCTCTAAACAAGTCTTGTTCTTTTACGATTCTGACTATCTTCTTTTGCTTCTTCTTCATAGGGTCCACACAAATACTAATATGGAAACATAGTACTGCTAATAACCCAACAATAAAAACCAAAAATAACCCTAAACCATACAAATATTAAGACAAAATGAACCTTTCAGTGGTTGTTGATAACCTCTAGACAAGTCTTGTTCTTTCACGATTCTGATTATCTTCCTTTGCTTCTTCTTCAACGAATTATTCTTTTTCTTCAATGATCTTCCCTCGTTTCTTCAAAAATTTCAACTTTGTTCAAATTTTTTACAATATCACTTTCTGGTCATCCAAATCGCATTGAAATGAAATGAAAAATTTAAAAAAAAAAAGAGATTTGTTGATTTAGGGTTAATGAGATTGAAGAAGTAATCGATGAATTCAAGGGGAAAATAATTAAAATGAAAGAAAAACCCACGATAAAAAGGAAAAGAGAAAATTTTGACATGGCAAACATTTTTTACAATATGAAAAAAAAAATTGTCACGTCAATATTTTTTTACAATCTAGGCAAAAAAATGACATGTCAACTGTTTTTACAAAGTGACCAAAAAAATGCCACATCAATATTTATTGCATAAGTGAACCAAAAAGTTTGTCTTATATGTAAAGTTAGTTGCTACGTTAGAAAAGTCAACTTCTACATAAACAATGGCAGTAGTAAGCCCCATTAATGATTTTAATCAATTCTACAATTAATTTATGTGAGGGATTCAATTTTGATTAATTGTAATGAAGAGACTAATTCCACCATTTCAATAAAATATAGGGATCATCTATAAAATTTGACCTAAAACATAACATATTTAAATTCTAAGGCAAAATGCATATTACAAACTTAAAGGAATATCTTCTCAAAGTACTTTTTTAAGACAAATAATTATAGGATTATGATGAAGCATGTATATGAAAGATCTTAACACATAAAAATAATAATTAAAATAATATAAAAACAAATATAAAGTGATAAAAACTTTAATAACAATTGACTTTATTAATTTAAGTTTATCTAATCCATCTATATGCAACATCATAAAAAAAGGAAAAAAAAAGAACCTAGGCTACCTTTACTCCATGGCAAAAAGAGTATAACAAATTGGAAAAAAAAATTGTAGTGTTTCTTAAACATCCAAAAAAAATCTCACTTATATAGGATGGATCTTGAAACTAATTATGGAATAATTTTTAATTTTTGAATTATTAATTGATTAAAATAAAATGAAGAAATAAATTAAAAGTAATTTATGCTTAACTATTAAAATAGTTAAACATAATATGTATTTAATATAGAGAGATTTTAAAATTAATGTAATAATGATAAATGAAATTAATTTGATTTTGACATATCAAATTTAATTTCAATTGATTTGTCATCTATTAATCATTTTAAAATCAAAATATTAAGTAGGATTTGCATAGCATAAAAGATGAAGCCAACGGCTTATATTTTTAAAAAGTTGAAAGTTGAAAGTTTTTTTTTTTTTTTTAATAAGTGTAATTTGAGAGTTGAGCAGCGTAGAAGAACTTTTGAGTATCAAATACTAAGAAAAGATGCAAAGTGAAAATTGAAGTAGAAATTGGATGGTGGTATAAAGATATAAAGTTAGTGAACGGTGATTAAAACTGTCACTTGTCAAAATAAAAAATCTAGAGTTATACTAAAAATTATGTTGTAGGTAAATTAATAAGACAACTTTAAAATGTTGAAAATGAATATTGATATAATAAATATTTTGAGTGAATAATGATCAAATAATAACCTCAAATTGAGAGTGAAATAATTTATTTCATTGACTTAATAATGAAATATTAATTAAATATTTATGCTTTTTATATTTACATATGAATTGTATCAGATACTCAAATATTTTACTTAATCAAATATGAATGTGTCAAATAATTACGTAGGAAATCAACTTTTACATTATATACATAAATAAAAAAATTTTAAAAGAAAATTTTAATAGAAATAAATATAATCAATGAATTATAATATTTTAAAATCTATATAAAATCAAATAAAATTAATTAAATGTAACATACATTAACATGATTATTATTTAAAATTGTCCATGTCTCAAAATAATAGACCATTCACATTGAATTTTTTTTATCGAAATTTTTTTAATTTTTATATATTTATACAAGGTGAATTTTTATTATTATTATTATACTCCATATTCAAACTGCGAGAAAAAGATTCTATCAAAATTTTAAACCTTAAATAATAGAGATTTAACTTATATTTTTGGTAGGGGTAAAGGGTGATTTTAATTCGACCAATTCGGTGTTTTTACAAAGATGACATCCAGTGATCACTACCTCATACAAGGTTATTTTATTTTCTTAACATCGAAAAAAATAAAAGATTAATCACTCCAAAATAGAAACTTATTGGCCAAAAAAATAGAAACAAGTTAGCCTTTTCCAATTTGACATTCAAAATAAATATTAATCAGACTGCATCTGACATTCGAACTCAAAGTGATAGAAGATGATCGGAAAATCAAATTTTCTTTTTTTTTTTTTTCCCAATTTTGCAACAAATTATACCACTCTTTTAATCAGATTGCATTCTCAATATATGCAAATCAACGATATTTCCCAAAATCTGCATACTTCTTTTGAAAGTTGAATAGGTGAAGTACAGTTTATAGCAATCCTAATTTGGATTGCCCGCTGGACTTCTGTTCCAAGACAAGTAGGATGGATCACCAAGAGCCCTGCACAAAATGCAAGATCCACCTCAAATAATTGAAACAAAATAAAATAACTAAATAAAAAAGAAAATAGGCTACAACCATATCATAAAACAATGAACCAAGTGCTTTCTCACAATTCATTAACCATCAGTCAAGCAGTTTGGAAGGAAAATATTTCGACAGGAAATGTTTTCTGAAAAGAAAAACGTCCTTGCTCGAAGCTTCACTTATATTTAATATATTCTAAGTTATGTTTTTCATGCATATGATTAAATTTTAAAGGATTAATGCTATGAATAGTTCTTGAATTAAAATAAAATTATTTATTTAATACTTGAATTTTAAAAATCTTTAAATATGATACTTGAATGTGATACTTATACTTAATGTGAGTAACTCTAAATTATAAAATATGCAAACAAACAATCTTCAAGTATTACATTAGTTAATAAATTTATAATTTATGTATCAAATTAAAAATTTTTAAAATTCAAATATCATATTAAATATTTTATTATAATTTAAAAGTCGAAGGGGATATTATTCCAATTTTAAATAACACAACTTTTTATGCTTTTCTTTCATTACTTTCCCAAAGATTGTTCACACAGAAAATTCTCCATTATCTATAATTTAAAGTTTACTAGCACGAGGAGTAACGGGCAAAATAAAAGCATTAACTCACCTTGGCTTGATAACGTAAAGAAGTATGAAGTTTACTGCTAAAAACAAGCACAGCCCCCCTACAGTAATATATGCTATGCCAATGAAATCATTTTTTCCACCTATCCAACTTGTGGTTGAAAGAACCAACTTCTTTTTGCCCCCAAAACTGTAGGTGTTGTAATGGTTCTGTATTACAACAGTTATTTGCTCATTGGCTTGGAGGTCCTCCTCTATCCTCCCGTAGAGTTTTCTGAAAGTTGGCAGTGCTGCTGTACGCATCCAAACGATCAGATCCTCTTGTTCACTTAACTGTTGCATGCAGAAGAGTAAAAATCTCGGCCGAAAGGAAAGAAGACAAGGAAGAAAAAAGTACTGTATTATGTGGTACAAGAGAAACATCAAGCAAGACTTACAGGTGTGGTCGAATTCAGTTTTGCACCTCCAATCAACCCTCCAGTCTGGAAATTTTTTGGATAAACATCAGATCCAAATTTATGCTCTTTGTCACTGTCCCATGCTATGTTCTTTTTGTTGACTTCTAACATCTTACTTTTCACGAAAAATCCATATGTGTCATTGAACAAACTCCATGCAATGAGGCCACAAGGAACAATTGGAGCATCTAGTGAAACAGCTTGAGGGTCACAATTTTTTGTCTCACGCTCATATGCCTTGCTCCTCAATTGTTTATCACTTCGACTTTTAACATAACTGCATGCATTTTCCCACAAAAGTGTTAAAAGAATTTTTAAAGATGAAAACCAAGAATGTTGAAAATATTTTCAAGTCAAGCACAATAAAAGGACATGCATAATTAGAATTCAGAAGCATAAGAAATACTACTAAATCTTTCATGAAAGAGTTATATATACCTAAATCGGGTCTTCTAATCCAACAAAATAGAAACATTCATTAAACTTAAACATGGTATTGAAAAATAACTATAAATATAGAACATTTCTTCAAATACATTGTACTCACCGACGATGGTTCTGGTAGAAGTTATCAAGCTCATAATAAATAAAAACAGGACTTTTCATCAGCTTAGGAACCTGAAAAGAGGAGGAAAAGAAAAGGATAAATTAATGCTCATTAGCAGAAAGGAGATGTTAAGATGAAATGTTGAGTAGCGGAATATGTAAAACTGATACAAGACAGGGATTCCTAGAACACAATAAATTTTAAAAAAAATGGATAAAGAATTGGACTAACACTCAAAGTCCTAGTACAAGACTTGTTAGTTCGACTGCTTTGGATATATGCAAGCTTATCATTGGAATAATTAGGAGGAACACATCCTTCGTCATAGCGATCCACGATTTCCACTACCTATACATAAAATACAACACAGTTTTTACGTTCAACGTGAATCAATAGCAAGGAACAAACTCATTTAGAGATGTTAATGAGTGAAGAATACACTACATGCTCCGATGCAGACAATGACACAAGTCCAATAGGGATGAAGATGATTCCGATAATGGTGAATGTTGTAATGACCTGAAAATCCCAAAAAAATAAAAATAAAAAATTAAACAATAAGGAAAGGAAAAATGGAAGCTTGCGTTAAATCAAACGTGAAAGAAAAATCACAGCTTCCGCCTTCCCATGAATCAAAGGCAAGATTTCAAACAGTTGTTACCGCTAAGGTTAAGGTCAAAGTTTCGAGTTGTATCTCTCCCTTAGACTTTGTCAAATGTAAAGTAAAATTAAAAAAAAAATAAAGAAATTTAGGGTCTAATCTTAGATCTTCATTAATAAGACTTTTTGAAAAGTAAAGTGACTTACGAACTGACAAAGCATGATGAAAATGAGCAGCAAATTAAGAGGCAAAAAATTCAAAGAAAGGTCTCCTTTAGGCATGTAAAGACCCTTTTAGTGGGAGAAGGATTTGAGGGAGTCCCCAGCTGTACAACACCATGCCTAATATGCCTTTACAAATTATATTTAAAAAAAAGGGCCAAAAAAAACCCCAACCTCCATTCACGGTCTGTCCCTTTCTTCCATCTCTCTTTTTGTCAAGTGGGAACATCAAATTAATGCCCCTTGTAACTGTTTACTAAAGAGCAACATGCACGCAGGAATATAATTTTAGCCTTAATCCACTATGCATCCTGCACTCTGCAGTGCCACTTCCACCACATTCATATTTCAGGTCTCATTCCCTCACCTCTTGAATAACACTTCAAAAACCTTTTCCTTTCCTTATTTATACTTTCTCTGTTGCTATCTGCATTTTTCTCCATCTTCACTATTTACTAGAATGTTATAAATTGCCTATAGAAAATGCGCATCACTTGTTTCAGTAAACAAGCTCTTTTTATAGCATTTCCTTCTGATCTTTGAATATATATACTTCTCTTCATGTTAAGCTCCCATAATGCTTTATGCGTGCATAATGCTTCCCGGGGTACTGATCAAAAGAGGATGAAGGTTAAGCTTCTCTTTCATTTCTACGAGATGAATGACCTTGAAAACTGTCTTTCCTGAAGGTAGAGCTTCTCTCACGCTGAAAAAAGTTTAACATGGAATGGAGATCATCCATACAAAGGGGAATCAAGTAGTTCTGATCCAACCCACATTAATTATCTGTTTTATCATAAACGTTTTTTTAATGAATCGAATTTACTTTGTTTTAATTAGGATAGAAGAATCTATATTTGCATTATTAGCATATAAAAATGCTCTTAGACGTACGTGAAGTGAATAATTAAGGACCTACCAAGCTAGATCCGAGTGAAAGATAGAGCTGATGTTTCAGGCAGATGAATTTAAGAACGTAAGAAATGTGTTTAAGTGCTTAAATGTAATAAAAGTTACATTCTATCCAAAAGGAAAAGTCAACAAACCAGTCCCGGTGTAAGAATAGGCTTGCAAGCAGGAAGCTCTTGCTGTGTGAACCTAGAATCTGCAACCCAACAAAAAGACGAAAATTACCATGAGCCCAATCCTTGATTTGCACAACTATATTTCAAAATGAAAAAAAAAAAAAAAAGGTATATAAACAGATATTGTAAAATCTTCAACCATTCACCAGGAACAAATTTTAAGTATCATAATAAATCTCAATAAATGGACATAAAACTATAACCAATAATTGCAACCAAAACCTCTTTTTCCCTTGTTAGTATTCGTTGCGTATTATAGCCACATTGCACCCATTTTATCAGATTCATCAAATGAAAAAAAAAAAAAAACGAAATGAAACCCAAATCCGGCAATGTAGATATTAGTGAGAATGATTAACAAGAAACGGCGAGAAGGGAACATACATTGGGGTTTTTTGGAATTCTTTTTGGATAATAAAGATGAATCAGAGGTTGAAGTTGAACCACCACCAGCGGCGGAGCTCGTGGTGGCTCCGTTGGTATCCATATGACCACTATTACTCTTCCCTCTACCTCCTCCTCCACAGATACTTTTTGTTATCAAATCTCAACTTTTTTTCTTTTCTCCGAAATTGCTAAACGAAACCAACATTATAATCTTTCTCTTTGGTTTTGATTTTTTTTTCTTTTTTGGAGGATTTTTATTATATATTTGTTTGTTTTTATTTCGTTAGTTTCAAAAGGAGAATTAGAAAAATAAATGGAAAAGAAAAAATAAGAAAGTTGGTTATGACTTATCGAGTTATGAGTGGAAAAACGTTTGCACGAGAGAAACTACCGGAAGTCTGAGGTGTACTTATATTAGTCAACCTATATCAGTTTGACAAGTGGATTAATATTTTAAGTATTTGACCATGAACATTGCTTCCACAAACATCCTCACTAAAAAAAGATGAAGGCCCAATATATTCCAAAATATTATCCATGTTTTTTAACAGAAAAAAAAAATTTTTTGTAAGCAAATGATTTAATGTTATGAATTATGTTTAAATTATAATGAAATTTTTAATATAATATTTAAAATTTAAAAATTTTTTAATTTAATATTTGAATTATAAATTTATTAATTAATATAATATTTATTTTTAATGTAATTAATTTCAAATGATAATATATGATAGACTAACAATCTTATAATATATGATAATTTCAAATTAATATATTCATAATTCAAATATCATATTAAATATTTTTAAAATTTAGATATCATATTTAATATTTTATTATAGACCATAGACATTCATAATATTAACCCTAAGTAAATATTGAACGAATGATTTTTCTTTAATCATAATAGAATTATTATAAATAATTGACAATAAAGTACCGTTTAGTGCTTTATTATTAAGTAATTGTAATATAATGTGATTGTTGGAAAAGTGATTGTCAGATATTAAAATGTTGGAAAAATAATATTATAGCGTTTGAAATACATAAAAAAAAAGTGTTGATTAAAATACAAGAAAGTAACATTACAATATCAAGTAAATTAAACACTTTAATGAGAATTTGGCATGAAATTTGACAAAAACTATAATCATGTCTAATATTTTATAAGTTCTAGTCAATGGTATAAATGATACATTAGTACGTATAAGTTATTGAGTTGGATTCAAATAAAATTCGAATTCGGTTTCATTATTATAGAGTCGAGCTCGAACTCGAGTAGCTCGACTCATCGATCGAGCCGAGTTCGAATATTTTTATACTCAGCTTGAGTAGCTCAGAGTCTAATCGAGTTTTTATATTTAAAATTTTTTTATTATTTTAATTAATAAAATATCTCAAATTTGAGTTCAAACTCGAGTACAAATAATCGAGCTCTCGTCGAGTATAAAAATCGAGCTTATTTTTACATATTTTCGAGCTTAATCGAGCGAGTTTAAATAGTTCGAATTTGATCACGAATCGAGTAAGAACTAAGAAAATAAAATTCAATCAAGTTCGAATCGAGTATCGAATTACGAGTTAAGAATCGAACTCGAACTCGAGTTTTTCACTGTATCGATTTGACTCGACTTAATTACACCCCTAGTTCCAATCCTAGCATCCAATGAAGACTGGGACGTGACAATTGTTATTGAATGGAATTGAACTTATAGGTGACGCAACATGAGATTGAGTTGGAAATTGATTGAGTTGGACTTTGAGTTTGAGACACTCAAAGTTGACTTGTTTTGTAGGAATGAATTTTATATATTGATACGAAGGAAAAGATTGTGTTAAATGATCTTAAATTTCACAAAAAAGAAACAAAAAAATGTCAATATGTGTAAATAAATATAAATTTCAAAAGTTATGTTTCTTATTGGAATAATATGGAACGTTATATTTTTTACTTTTTTATAATTTTTCAAAAGTTAATAATTCGGCATAAGAACTTTGATAGGCTATAAAGAAGAGGTATGGGATGAGGATGCCAAAAAACAAATCTTTTTATATATGTGGATTTTAAAATGATAGATTATAAATCTATCGTTGATTAAGTAAATGAATTAAATAATAGTATAACTAAATGCACTGACGTTGGTAAATCAATTTTTAAAACTTTTCAAGTGTCCATTCATTAGTAAGTTACTTTTATCTTTAAAAAATTATAAAAAATGTTTAAAGCACAAAAAAAAAAAAAAACCCTGTTGCTATGAATGAATTGGTTAAGTATACACATTATAATTGAAGGTGTAATCCAAAAGAAATATGAAATTTCTAATAATATGAAGGATAACAATATGCATCTTCAGTTTTCGGATGCGAAAAGATGTGCTAATGATTAGGGAACTTTGGTTTTATAACTTATTTTCTTTTTTTTTTTTTATGTTATCTTTGGATTTTTTAATTTGATGAACAATGTGATGTTACAGCTGTTAAGCATTTAATTTAGAATTAATAAATAGTAAATAATGAGGTTCAACTTCAATATAAGATTATAAAAAATTATATATTTATTAGATATGAGATAACACAATTTTAAAAAATTTTCATCACGTATAAGAAAAATGAAAAAAGACTATCACATGATAGATTTGAAAAAGACAACAAAAAGAAATCATGATTTTGATACTATGTTAAACATCTAACTTAAAATTAATTAGTAGGAAGTGGAGAGGCCTAACTTAAATATAAGACTATAAAAAATTAAATATTTATTAAATATAAGATAACGTTACTTTAATAAGCTCCCATCACGTGTAAGCGGAGATGAAAAAAACTTATCATGTGACAAATTCGAAAAAGATAAGCATTCAATCTAAAATCAATTGACAGTAAGTGAAGAAGTCCAACTTAAATGTAAGACTACAAAAAATTATATATTTATTATATGTGAGATAAACATCACTTTAATAAACCCCCATCACATGTAGACAGATATGAAATAAGCTTATCATATAACAAATTTGAAAATTAAAATATAAGACTTGTCAATTATTGTGTTTACTTCAATATAAACACAATAATTAATAACAAATACTACATTAAAAATTGTTAACATGTTACGAGTTGTCAATTACTATAGTACTGTTCAGTAACGTAGTAAATAATATTAATTACTAAGTTATTATACAATGTAACGCAATAATTGAATACGTTGTAAAAATTTATTTATTGTGATAATAAAAAAAGGTACAAAACAAATACTATGTTAATGTTTAAATTAACAAAGAAATTAAGTGCGTTATAAAAAATTTTGTGCTCAATAATAAAAATCAATTACAAGCAAGTACTGCATTAATGTTGAAATTAAGGCAGTAATTGAGTGCGTTATAATAAATTATTTAAATTTAAAAAAAAAACATAAATCTAATATTACATTAATGTTTAAATTATAGCAACAATTGAGTGAGTTATAATAAACTATTTAAATTTTGAAAAAAGTCAACACAAATCCAATACTACGTTAATGTAAAAATTAATGTAACAATTGAGTGAGTTAAAAAATAATGCAACAATAAATAATAAGTACAAATCAATTATTAAGTTAATGTTAAAATTAACGCAATAATTGAGTATGTTATAAAAAATTATTTTTTATGGTAATACTAAACTAAGTGCAAATCAAATATTGTGTTAATGTTTAAATAAATGTAATAAATAATAACAATTAAATGTGTATGAAAATATAGTAACATAGTATTCCAATTGGAGAAAAAATTAACACTCATTTTTAAAATATTTCCAAAAAAAAAAATCATTACAATTACTGCATTTGTTTCTAATAAACACAATATTTGACATTTGAAAAAAAAAAAAAAACTAATCATTTGTTGATTTCCAAAAGGATAAAAAAATATAAAACATTTTTTATTTAGGTCGATAAAAGTAAATTTTTCTCTGAAATATTAAAAAACAACAAAAAAAAGTGAATTTCTAATTCCTAAACTTTAAGTACTATTAAAAATCTAAGATTACATTTGATACCTGCCAATCAAATGTGAAAATTTGAATACCCAATAACAACATTCTAAAAAAAATCTCAAATTCTCTCCAACCAAACAACCCCCTTATTATTTTCAGCCCTTGCAACCTCAGGCTTTTAATATCGATTTCGGGCAAAACATACAAACTCATCTTACTTGCATAAAGGCTACATGAGTTCTTGATGGATTAACTTTATTGTTGTGTAATTTTGTTTAAGGTGTTTTGTTTTTTATTCAATTTTGATTTACTTAAGGTATTTAGTATGTATTTTATGTCGGTGAAATGGGTTTTGCATTCAGTTGGTTATGAATTTCAAAAGAAACTTAGATGTGTATGAATCTAATCATGATTGGAGGTAAGCAACCTCCCACAAAGATAAAGAAGATGGGATGGGGAACCAAAGTGGAGGATTGGGCTTTCAAAGTGTTCACGGTTGGTTTACGATTGGCCACCATTTACCTAACAACCACTTTCTCTGTTAATGTTTACAAAGGCTTTACCTGGCACAACTCTTAATCCAAAATTGAGAAGCAGGATCCACTAAACAATAGCTTCTCGCTGTAGGGGCACAACTCTCGAAACAAAATTCAGGTGGTTAATTTATTGGCTAAAAGAACAAAATGAATATATGAGATGCTTTAGACTAGTGTATCTTTTGAAAATTGATTCAGTCCCGTATTAACTATCATAAGGTCTTTTTCTATAGCTAATAGATTCGTAACTTTTCCTCAATTCATTCTTACATGAATTGTTGAAAACGAAAAGAAGTACATCAAAATAAAAAGTTTAATAAATTGACTAATTCAATCAAATTAATATTTTTTTTATTTTCAAATATTCAACTCATTAATTAACTTTTTTATAATGTATTTTTTTTTCTTTGATAAGTAAGACATAAGATGTTGACGTTTTCTCAGAATTTTACATAAATTTATCTGAGATAAATAGATATTTTTGTGCAATTCCAAATTTAAAGTAAATCTTCATATCTTATTAGTGAAACTCTTCATATCTTTTTAGTGAAACTCTCTATTAGAAATTCAATGGACCCATGGCGGGATCTTAGTTGTT